CCAGAGCTTCATCCTCACCAATATTAAGGGCAGTGCTTATTTATACGCAATCTTTGCTCCTGTGATTAGTAAGAACAAAAATTCTATCTTTAAAAAATTGCATTTCAGGTAAACATTGAAATAGAATATTTTAAAGTGCAAGCAAAATTATAGAACAATACACCCGTGTCCACCTCCCATTAATTTGGTGAGAGCCATGGAGGTGGACCTTGGACCATCCCAAAAGCCACTGTATCAGAGTTCTTGGTAACCAACACTGAAACCTATTTTGGTTAACTTAACCAGAAGGGAAATGTCTTGGAAGGCTCTCAGGTAGCATACCAAAGAGGCAGGGAGGCTCGAGAACCAGGCTCATCAAACAGGCAAGGTAGTTTCGTAGCTAGAATCAGAACAGGTCATACCACCCAGGCACTTAGGACACCACTGGCATTGCCACTGGATACTCCTGCCTCTCGCCTCTGACATTGCAGTCTATGGGCACAAAAGCCACTCTACAGATAAAGGAATTATTCTTCTATGAATCACAGACTCCAGGGATGAGACCCGGATGGGAGCCTCTGATTGGTTGAACATAGGTCACGTGTTGTTCCCTAGCTGCTAGGGGTGGAGACAGTGAGTATTGGACCATTTTGTGCCAATGAATCAGAGCACAAATGAGGTTCTGGCTAGAAATAAATGATAAAGATTTATTCTTTATCTAGGGTTTGCAACTAGAAATACAACTGGGCAATAGAGTATTCTGAAGAAGAAAGGAAAGCTGATGGTTCTTCTAGTAAAAAGCACATTTTACATTTATATTTTAATTTTTACATATTTTGGTATTAGTTTCAGGTGTACAGTGGTCAACCATGTATTTCACAACTGTTTCCTGCCCCACCACCTCAATATTTCCAGTACCCACCTGGCACCATACATAGTTATTAGAATATTATTGACTGTTTTCCCTATGCTACTCTTTACATCCCATGACTATTCTATAATGACCAATCTGTACTTCTTAGTCCCTTCACGTTTCTCACCCAGATCCCTAAAACCCTTCCCCTCTGACAACCACCAGTCTGGTCTGTGTATCTATAAGTCTGTTTCAATTTTCTTTGTGTATTTACTTTGTCCTTTAGATTCCATATGAAATCATATGGTATTTATATTTTTCTTACTGACTTTTTTCATTTAGCATAATACACTCTATGTCCATTTATGCTGTCTCAAATGATAAAATTTCATTTTTTATGGCTGAGTAATATTCCATTGTGTACACGTACCACTACTTTTTTATCACTTGCTTATTGATGGCCACTTGGGTTGCTTCCATATCTTGGCTATTGCAAATAATGCTGCAGTGAACAGAGGGGGGACACATTCTTTCAAATTAGTGTTTTAGGTTTCTTTGGATATATACTCAGAAGTGGAAATGCTGGGTTATAAGGCAGATCCATTTTTAATTTTTTTGAGGACCCTTAATACTGTTTTCCAAAGTAGTTGCACTGATCTGCATTTCTACCACAAGTGCATGGGGTTCCCTTTTCTCCACATCTTCGCTAACACTAGCTGGTTGACTTATTAATGACAGCCAATCTGACAGGTGAGAGGTGATATCTCATTGTAGCTTAAATCTTCATTTCTCTGATGATTAGTGATGTTGAGCATATTTCTATATGCCTATTGGCCATCGTCTTTGCAGAAGTGTCTATTTAGGTCCTTTGCTCATTTTTAAGAAAGAGATTTTATTTATTTACTTTTAGAGAGAGGAGAAGGGAGTGAGAAAGAGAGGGAGAGAAACATTGATGTGAGAAAGAAGCATTGACTGGTTGCCTCTCATATGCACCCTGACTGGGGACCAAACCCACAGCCCAGGCATGTGCCCTGATCGGAATCTCACCGGTGACCTTTTGGTTTGCAGAACGAGGACCAACAAGCCGAGCCAAACCAGTCAGGGCTCTTTGGCCATGTTTTAATTGGAATGTTTATTCTTTGGTATTGACTTGTATGAGTTCTTTATAAATTTTGGATATTAACTCTTTATTAGATGTGTCACTGGTGAATATCTTCTTCCATTAAGTAGGTTGTCTTTTTGCTTTGTTGATGGTTTCCTTTGTTGTGCAAAAACATCTTAGTTTGATGTACTCCCATTTGTTTATTTATTCTTTTGTTTTCCTTGCCCACAGATATATGTACAAAAGATTTGATTATTATCTTATATATCATATATATATATATATTGCTAAGACAAATGCCAGAAATTTTACTGCCTATGTTCTCTTCTAGTCTTATGGTTTTGAGTCTTACATTTGTTTTTAATTTGTTTTGAGTTTATTCTTCTATACAATATAAGAAAATGGTCCAGTTTGAAATTTTTGCATGTATCTGTCCAATTTTTTCAACACCATTTGTTGAATAGACTTTCTTTACCCCATTGTATGTTCTTGCCCCCTCTGTCAACTATTAATTGCTTGTATAGGCATTTGTTTATATTTGGGCTCTTTATTCTGTGCCATTGATGTCTGTTTTTATGCCAGTACCATGAAAAAGCACATTCTTGAGAAGAATCGGTCTTGCATTCCTTGCCTCTGAATGCCTTAGTCTGCGATAGTGATCCTCTGGATGACCTATGGTCCGGATAATGGATGTCAGGTGGTCTGGATACATGAACATTCTCCCCTTAGTCCTTCAGTGGGTAGTCAGAGTGCTACCCAGAGGTTTTATACATATAAAACCTCCAGATAATATACATATGTAGTATAATATATATTTAACATAATATATATACAGTGATGCAGGACTGGATAGTTCAAAAGTTTAAGTTCCCAGACTAGTTAAAACAGGAATAGAATCATTTCTTCATACATCAACCTACTTGATTTAGTAATTTAACAGCTTGGCCGTAGTGACTCCATTTTATTTCTCCACTCTCTTCCTCAGATTTTAGGCAGCAAGACCATGATCGGTTACCAGTATAAATATTTTATGTGGAATTCCTTGTTTCATAATATTTCTTAGTAATCTGGGTAACCTTCTTAATTACCACTGGATTGTAGGTCATGAGATTATCTAGTTCAGAACCGCAAACACCAACGTCTACCCTATCCTCCGCCGTCAGTGGGGTGGGCCGTAAAGCAGTGGTGGGGCTGTGGAAAACTGAAAAGGACCCTCCCAGTCTGAAGGGGAGCCCTGCTACGTGGCTCTGGCTGATAGTCGATAGAACCTACCAGGGACCAAAGGTCGCCAGTTTTTCCATCTTTTCAGAGCATGCCACAAGTCCGAATTTCTGTGAAATTTTCTGACTTTCAAATTTGGAACCAAATTCAAAATCAGAAAAACAGTGGCACCATGGCTTCTTAAAAAATTCTCAGAGACTGTCAAACCATTTTATTTAAAAAACCAATGCAGGGAGATGGGGCCTAAGAAGTTGAAATGCCTGAGGCTAAACTGGTCAGGGAGTGGCAGTGCCGGGGCTAGCAGTTCGATCCCCAGGGGGAAATCAGGTCAGGAAAAGCTGATATGCCACTGCCCGCATCTGCCGTCTCTTTGCTCTCTTGCAAGTTGCCCCCCAACCAGACTCTAGAAACCGGAAACCGGGGAAGGTGCCTGTGTTTCATCCTGCAGCAGCAAAGTTTGTAAAGCATTTATAGATCAGTAGAATGTTCCTGGCCAATAAAAAAAGCTTTTGGTGTCAAATCAGATTTTAAATCTTAACTTCTACTGTGTCTCCGTCGTGGGTAAAATAAGAGGGCCATTTTTAAGTCTGTGGCGAGGATGAAATAAGATTTCAAGTTGGAGCGTCTGGCATGATACCAGGACCGTACTAAAGACACTGCACATGCTAATTATAATAGCATCCAGATGATACTATGATAGTTTGCATTACTATCATAGTATCATACTATGATAGGAGGGAGTAGGTTATGGATAAATCTCCAGGTGGAATTCCTGATAGGCAGTATAAGTGGGATTTTCCCCCAAACCCCATCTTTCCCCATCTCCAGTAGAGTCCATGGTCAAATCCATCTGCATCCCAGGTGTGAGTACACTGCAGTCTTCTGCGAAACTGATGGTAGAGCAAATGGGGAGTCCAGGTGGTTCGGGGCTGGGGGGGGGGGGGGGGCGTGCCGGGCTTCTGATGAGAAAGTCGCACTCTTTCGTTTCACTCTCGCTCTAGGCCCACCGCAGGGACTTGCTTTTCCACCTGCGAGCTTTCTCTGCGCGTTGCGGGAGGCCGCGCGGCGGAAGAGGGGGCGGAGGCAGAGGCGGAGGCGGCACCCAGAGGCCGGGGCAGGGGAGGCCGGGACCATCGCAGTGACAATTTCTTTCCTGCAGCGGCGGCAGAGGAACCACGCCGGCAGGCTCGGGATCGTCGGCCTGCGCGTGGGTTTGCGGGGACGCCGATTGCCCCCGGCGTTACGGGGCCACTGCAGCCAAGCAGAGGAAGAGAGCCACACACGCAGCAGGAACGACTGGAACCAGCAGAGCTCCACCGGTCCACGGCGGCGGGAGGAGGTACGGCCGGGGCCAGCGAGCCGGCGCCTTAGCACCCAGCTGCGGCGCCTTCCAGCAAAAGCCACAGCGGCCCCGGCTGCAGCTGCCAGACGGATGCCAAGGCCACACGACGGGCGCGGGTGCAGCCGCTGCAGTCGCCGTCCCACGCGGGGTCCAGACATCAGGGGTTGCTGGTGAGTAGGCGCGCGTGCGCGTGTGTCTGCAAGGTGTGAGCGCGCACCGGCACGGGCGAGTGTGCACGCCTGGTCCGCGTGCACGGTGGCCTGGAGTGCGGCCAGTCCCTCTTCCTCTGGCGGCGTCGGGTCTCGGGTTCGTTGCGCGGGAAGAGAATGCCTTTTGCTGGCTCACTTCCTCCCTTCAAGTGCCCTGATCCGCCGCCTCCGCCTGCGATGCCTCGGTGCCGCCTCAGCCGGCCCCTAGGGCTTCGATTCACCGTGATGAGTCAGGCAGGAAGCTGCGGCTGTAGGTGGCAGGGCCGGGCTCCGTAAGTGACCTACACGCGTGTTTCTGGTTCCAACTTGGGGATGGTGTCGTCATTGAAAGAGACCACCGCACTGTCTTTGGAGGTGCGTGGTGTGGAGAAGGGAGGGGCCAGGATTAGAAAAATAGACTTTTACCTTTGTCCGGTATATAACATAACTCTCTAGATGATGTTTACTTTTACGTCCTTTATGAGCAACTCAAAACATTTTCCCTCAACTAAGTAATTTAGGCCTTAACCAAATGTCTGTAATGAAATGCACAAAGTGTGATGTCACTAAAACATAATTTTCCAGAACTCTCTAAAATAACCCACACCATTGATGTTCGAGAGCCTAAGATGGTATAATTACTGAGAATTAAAAGAAAAACTACAAAATCTATATAATTTTATTAACCAATGTTACCTTAATAAATTTAATTTAAAAACTTTAAAAATACGTATGTAATAAGTCATTCAAGAAACAGAATCTGAGATAGAGAATTGAAAAACAATCTTAAGTGTTGGAGTGGCCTGGGGTGTGGGTGGCTTTCTGAAAATCCGTGTTTGGCAGTAAGTAAAAACAGACATCTTTCAAATTAAGCTCCAGTGAGTACACTGCTTTCCAAACATCTTGCTAGCCACTGGGAAGAAAACGAAGCCCTAGATTTTAGGGCGTTTCCAAAATTATTGTATCAGTACGATGCTGATTTATGATTTCATGATTCAAGGCCTTGTCAATGTCAGATTTGTTCCAGCATATAAATTACACCTGGATTTTTGACTTCCTGTGTGAAATTTTTGGTGGTAGTTTTCTGTGGTCGTTTTATAGAGATTAAGCCACTGGGCTTCATTTTTTCCCAAGACCTTGTTTCAGTGGACAGTCTTCAATGTTTGTGGGATGGATGCTCAACTGAATTTCAAAAATGTACTCTATAGCTGAATTATAGTAGGCATTCTGTAGCTATAGATACGGACTTAAAAAATCATTCAAGTTCATGTCTTTGAGAAATAGACCCCTGTTTCCTCTTGCTCTGTTACAGCTTCCTCATTCAAAGGCATGAACTGTTATGGAATATACCTGGAGAGGGAACCGGCTGCTTCTTTTCTGTTCAAGCCTATATCCAAGCACATTGTTGGCCACTTGGGCATCTCAGTTGGATCAGCTGATTCTTGGGAATTTTTTTTAAAAACTTGTTTTGTTATATTCTTTAGTAAAAGAAGCACCATTGAAATGATGAAGCAGAGAATCCTAGTCATTTACCCGTGCTGTGGGCTTCAGGGCCAGTTCCTTGCCTACTTTTGCTGCTTCATAGGGCTCACTGCCAGTGAGAGGCTCCAAGGGAGGAATTGAGGGGAGTGATAACCCCAAGGGTGTCCTTAGCCAAGAGATTTGCTCCTGGAGAAGAGGATGTCTTTGGGGTTGGCTCCTGAGAAGGACAGATAAAAACAGTCAAAAGAGTTGTTAGTAATAGTTACCTCTTTTTACTTTCATCACCTGGGACTTAACTAAACTAGTCTGATCATCTTCTTCCCTCAGTGACTTCCGAGTCCTACTTACCGCATCAACCCAGGGAGTGAGGTTGCTTTTCACAGAGAAAAGAGTCTGGTAATTCTTGCTCAAAATATGAAGGGTAGAAGAAATATGTAGTTGCTGCCTAGGAAATGGCAGGTGCCTCTGTGGAGCCTTCATTTACAAATTAGATACATTGTAATCCACTAGATTTGTGATTCTGTCTAACGCTAGCATTTTATTCTCAACCCTGTGAAAGATTTATGAGTGACTTGAATGATACAAGAAATGACTCATAGTCATCCCTGAAAATATTAGAATCAGCTTTCTGTTCCTTTGGGCTAATAGATCACAGATGCTCAATAAATATTTGTTAAAAGAAAAACAATTCTAGAATGTCTTTACTTCCCAATTTAACTGCGTCACATCTAGTACTGATTATTTTTAGACATAACTTTATATGAGTCACCAAACTTTTCATCAAATTGAAGCCCATTGATATATTCAATAAAGTAAGATCAACTTCTTCCATGAGGGAACAGTAACAATCTCTTTGGAATACAGCAAAAACGAACAAACGAAAGTACATGACTGGTGTCTGTTGACTGGCTTATTCCAGCTTGATGAACGTGTGACTTGTCCAGTGCAAGATGTGAGTGTACATTCAGAAATCCTGAGTTGACATCAGAACGTCAACTCAGGAAAAATCTGGATGTTGCTACATCCAGATGTACCTTTTGTCAGATATTATTTGCATTTCTAAGCAAGTCAGATGAACTTCCAGTACAGTCTAGCATCTCATGCTAAATGGAAAAGCCAGTTAAACCTTTGGCACATGGCTAAGTCATCAAAACACATGGTGTTTTGCTTTCTTTCTAAATTTTAAATTAAACTCATGTATGTTTGTCCATTGATGTGGCTGGCTCAGAGTCCAATTCAGACTGGTAGTTACTTAGTAACTTACATTTATTAACAGCAACTCCTTTATGTAAGCACCAGTAATTCATATGTTTTAATTTGCTCTAGTTAGCCTTTCAAAGTCCTTTTGGAAATGGTTGCATTGTATGATCTGGAATATTAAGTCTGCTATGCCTTCCTCTTTTTTTTTAATAGTGTTTACTTTCCATACCCAGCTATTAGAAGTTTACTCTATGATTCATGATTTAATTTCAGGGCTAAAGATTAGAAAGCTGTCTTAAGTTTGCCCGGATATTAACATTATCGTGCATATTAATAATACACATTTTCTCTTTGACCTTCTTCCATTTATGTCCTTCAGTCAAGTTTGTTATATTCAGAATAAAAAATGAAATGAGATCCTTAAACATTTAAAATTTTTTTCTAATGGGCTATGTCCAAAATAAATAAATGAAATAAAATAAAATATGGCTTATCACTGTTTTGAAGTAATACGAACACTGATATCCTCTGCAAAATGAAACACGGCCATGCTTATCAGGTATTTACTTGGTTAGTAGGTCCTTGAACAAGTGTTAAAGGCATGTTCCATTCATGTCTTATTAAGGCCCTTGAAAGCCAGGGAGTGGAATTTTGATTCAATAAGGTAGCCAATTCAAGGTAGGTTCCCTGAAAGGATTAAGTGATGAAAACCTCTGTTTGGAGGAACACTTTGGCTCTTCTTGGGTGAGGAGTGGATTAGTAAAGGGAGGGGGGCAGGTGGTAATCTCGTGTCAGATAATGATAGCCTGACTTTGATCCAAACACTGAAAGGGAGAAGGGAAAACTTAAGACAGACATCAAAATTCTTTGTTCTATGCAGATGGGGGATGGTAAGCCTATGGCACAAGTATGATTATTTGCACGTTTCATGCCCACAGGACATCACCTGTTGACTGCAACCTTCTTTGCTGCTAAGCTTTGGTGTAACCTCAGCATTGTGCAAACATATGACCGACATTTAGTAATAAATATTAGTTATTGAACATGTGCTACGTGCTAGGCACTGTGCAAAGCCTAACACATGTTGTGTCTAGGATGACGGCATTGTTAGGAGCGTGAATTCTTTTTGCTGTTTACTAGTTGTGTGTCTTTAAGCAAGGTACTGACTTCTCTGAGCCACCATTTCCTCATCATTCAACTGGGATATTAATTTCTATCTCACAAGGCTTGGGGGAGGGTCAGATGAATATGTAGGTATAAATGTAAAGGGATTAGACGTGACTGGCAAAAAGTTAAGTGCTATATACATTTGTTGTTATTGTTAATTTATAAAACAACTTTACGTACTAGGTACTATTGTGCTGGTTGAAACATTGAGGTACAGAGACGCGAGGTGAGTTGCTCCGGGTCCTGTGCTGGTAGGGGATAGAGCTGGGAGTCAGGCTCAGACGGTCAGACCCAGACGGTCAGACTCCGAGACCTGCTTTCTGGACTTGTATCAATAACACATCCCTGTCTCCTGTACTGCATGCTGGGTGCTGGAAGTTTGTCCTCATGGAGATTCCTGGGTCTAATCATCTTCCTTGTAGAACATGCCACCTCTAGTATAGGATTCTGGCCCAGATTGTTGAACAAACTTTTTGCTATTTTTACTTGATTCTTTGATTTTTAAGTGGTATTTTTTATTAAGAAGTATTCTAATTTTTGTTATTACACGTGCTTTAAAAATCAGTTATGTTTTGTTTTTTGCCTAACAGTTGAGGTATGCAATATATATTCATTTGTAACGTCTCTCCTTGTACCCAGTGATTCTTTGCTGTAGGCAGCGAGACTGTGTCTCCCTAAGATAATGTATAGTATATAGCTCATAATATATATTATGTAAGTAATGAATAATGGAATATTATCTGATTATGTAATATATGATATACATTTAATGTGATGTAGATGTTACATACATTATGTTAGGTATGCATTATACACTTCTGTATACATTATATTCCTATATGTATACATTGATGTGCACATTGTATATAATACATACTATATAGTACATCATATTAGGGGGACATTCACATTATATGTAACTTATACATAAAGAATCACTGGGTGTACAAATGCGTGTGTGCACATTAAGTTGTTGGGCAGGTACCACACTCCTAGAATCTCTTACATCCCATTCATGAGTGATGGTGGAATCATGGTGACATTTTATAACTATTTTTATTTACAATATTTTATAGAGTAACGGCAGAGTAAATTTTAGCTGTTCTTTGACTTGTAGAAGTCATTATGTCTAATTACAAGGGGCCAGATTTTAATTTTAGGTGGGACGACTGCTATGGCAACTGAGAATATAAAGTTCTTAATTCTCCCAGAGCTTCTTTTTTCTTTCTATTGACTTTAGAAAGAGAGAGAGGAAGAGGAACATTGATTTGTCGTCCACTTACTTTTGCATTCGTTGGTTCCTTCTTGTACGTGCCCTGACTGGGATTGGACCTACAACCCTGGCAAGTTGGGATGACGCTCTAACCAGCTGAGCCACCGGCTCAGCCCCCAGAGCTTCTTTAGGAGAGACTGTGCCCTCACTGATTTTAATATTTTCACATTACATTAGTCTTTATATAATTTCTTGGTCTTATCAATACTTTTCAGAAACCTGTAACTAGTACTGTTTTTTCTAAGGAGGCAAA